GGGGGGGGGCGAGGTGTGTTCTTTTAAAGGTAGAAGCCCAACGTGATGAGCTTATGCCCTCCTCATCTCATGCTTGCCCTGCCTTTCATTTGCCTTTCATTTACTATCAGCGCAAGGAGACCGGCAGAGAACACATAGCATTAAGGCCCTACAATGGCAAAGTACATTTCCAGGTCTACATGAAACACGATTGGCGGATCCAGCACTAGGCAGTGATGCTGAGACAAGCATAGTTGCAGCTGGAAGTGGGATCCAACTGAGGTGTGCAGGTCATGGGAAAAGTTTGCCACCTTTGACAGCATTCTGTGGACTGAGCTGGAGTGCAGAGAGCATTCTGTGGACTGAGCTGGAGTGCGGAGAGCATTCTGTGGACTGAGCTGGAGTGCAGAGAGCATTCTGTGGACTGAGCTGGAGTGCGGAGAGCATTCTGTGGACTGAGCTGGAGTGCAGAGAGCATTCTGTGGACTGAGCTGGAGTGCAGAGAGCATTTGGCGGACTAATAACATAGCTGGCATAGCTGAAAACAGAGGGTAGGTAATGACTGTCCTTACTGGTGAACTTCAAAATTCTCATGTCTAGTTTACTTGGAGACTAGAGACCTGGAAACTGAAGACTGCAGACCCCCCATTTTGGTTTCTTAAGTAATGAAACTGTACAATCTTGCAATTGGAAACCAAAAGGACAAAAACGTTAACTTAAAAAATAAGTTAAGTATACAGTAACTAATGTTTTTCATATATGGATGAAAGCTTTAATCAATTCATACATTTTCACCTCTATAGTAAATCGCATTGGTATGACTTGGCAGTCAGCTGCCTATCATGGCATAAAGATGCATGTTTATATCAATATCTGGTTATATACTAGGCAAACAACCTGGTGACGGCCATTTCTTAATTGACTGTGATGGTTCAGCCCTCACAGGATGCAGAGCATCCGTGAGCATATGATCGATTTTTTGATCCCAAAATAATTGGCTGGATAGGACAATGGTCATCCCTTGTCAGTGACCACTTTTGGTAGTTACCATATTCCCCCTTCCCTACCTTTTTCCTTTTTTATCCCAGTGCTGTATGTGTCCAGCGATATCCAGACACATTCCTGGTCTTGTATTTACAGCTTCAAGCACTGCTGCAGATCTGGTCCAAACTACCCCCAAGAGATGCCCTGGAACTGCTTGATTTCAACTATCCTGATCAGTATGTAAGAGAATATGCTGTCAACTGCCTAAAGAGCATGAGGTAGGTGCATTCTGTGTGACCACATATAACGTGCCCGACAGATATTACTGCCATAGAAGGGCAATAAAAGATTTGGTTGGGTTGCCCACATACAGATAAGCATTTTAATCATTTCTGTAATTTACTTTGTGTAGCCTTATTTTCGTCACCTTTGGTGTGTTAAATATTTACAAGTAATTGATGTATGCAAATGTTACTTCCTGTATTTATGTTGGATCAGTTATGTTAGATGAAATGTCCTATGACCACCTGAAGTTTTTATCTTTTGACATCGCGGTTTTATTGATCGTTCTAAATATCCAAGATAAGGACATAACAGATGTGTGGATTGCTGTACTTGCTGACACCTTCCTTCTTATGTGTTTACAGTGATGAGGAGTTATCCCAGTACTTGTTGCAGTTGGTACAGGTTCTCAAATATGAGCCTTTCCTGGACTGCGCCCTGTCCCGTTTTCTGCTGCAGAGAGCCCTGGCTAACCGTAGAATCGGACAGTTCCTGTTTTGGCATCTGAGGTTGGTACACATTGGTTTTAGAGACTTAGACGGTGCTTTATTGCTAGCCATCTGACTACAAATATTAAGCTAACCAAGGGAACTGCAAGCAAAATATGGGCAAGCATTCACACTCCTAGACCCAAACAAAAAACATACAGTATTCTTTTCATATATCATTTTTTTTTTAGAACATCATTGCAGATCTGGTAAATATGTAGAGTTTTGCTAGTGACTAGACCAAGCAGGGAATCTATATATTTTTCAAATTTGTTTATTTCGTCCATTGAGGAACACAGGAAGTCTTAAGTCTTCAGGTTATTCTGTCCCCTACAGGAGGATTGGACACTAGAAAACAAAAAAAACTGTAGGCCAGCCCTCGATAATCCGCTCCTAAGTTGCCTCAGTTTTTTGCTAAAAGCATCAAATTCATTTCTTCAGCTCTGCTTATGTTAAATTCTAACCTTTTTCCTTGCACTTCTCTGCATTAATGCACAGTCCTCCTCAGCCTAGCTTTTTGAGTGCTGGACTGGATATTGTAGGGATAGCTGTTAGCATTACCTCAGTGCTTGCCCTGTCTTTGAAGACTCGCTTAGTGTGTGGGTTAGTCAGGCTGAGCCAGGAGCTACCTCATTTGCATAGGTCGCTGGATGCCATTATTTCCTGTTCCCGCTGGTTTTCTGTGGACATTAAGGATGCTTACCTTCATGTCTCTACCTTTCCAGTGCATTCGTAAAACATTTTGTTCAGGGGCCCCTGCACTACCTATTCGCAGTCATGCCCTTTGGCCTTTTCATCTGCATTTCAGATATTCACCAAGATATTAGCCCTGCTGTGCTCTCATGGCATCGCATTGTGGGATACTTGGATGACCTCCTGTTGAGGCCTTTCTATTCTGTTTCAGAAACCTTTGGCCTCTCACTCTTTCATTAAAGCCTTTAGTAAAAGCAGTCTTCCATGTAGCTCCCCCTGTCTGTTCCCTGCAGTTTTGTTTTTTTTGTCAGTGTCCAGTCCTACTGTAGGTGGCAGTATAACCTGGAGGTTTAAGGCTTTCTCTGTCCCTCAATGTACTCCAAGAAAAGGATTGTATGGTAAGCAATTTTTATTGTTTTACATTGAAATAAATTATTGCCAAGTCCCACCCTCATTACTTGGCCTTCATGAAAAGTGCATATAAGCTTACAGGTTTTGGATTGTGACTACCCTGTAGTTTTTGTCAGTATAAGATAACTCATGAAAGTTGACACGACATTATTGTAACCCAGAAATGTACCCAAATGCCTCGTTTTCAGTGTATTAGAAGGGGACCACTTGCCAGAAACACTGACATGTCAGCTAGTTTCAAAGACACTTTTCTGCATAACTGCATGCCTAACGTCATCATACTTTTCTGGGATTGACTGTCACAAAAGACTGCCCCACAACTGTTTCAGCTACATCCTCATGTTAATCATCCTTCTCCATACTTATTGTGGCTGTAGTGAAGGGACTGTAAAAGAAATGTTAAAATCACTACAATGAGATCTGAAAGTCATTTTTGTATAGTTTGTAACTGAAGGAGATCCTTAGATTATGAACCGTGGGTTACAGCACATTTCATTCAGGGTTTCATGCACAATTTTATAAATGCCCCTTACCTGTCATGGTAATAAGTAGTTGGCCTGATGGAAATAAAGAAGGTCATTATATTGTTGACAATTCCACCACTCCTTCCCTAGCTCCCCTTTATAATAAAAAATAAAATGGGGATAAGTGAAAATCACACTTCACTGTGTAATATTTCTTTTGCTCTATGAAGTAAAGACTAGCACAGAAAATCCATAAGTTGCGGCTATATTTCTGAACTGTTTGCCCAGAGACATGGGAGCCCTAGGAATCATCTGCTCAGTCTTATTTTATCATTTATAACCCCCCCTTATAAAGCAAGCTTTACATTGCAGATCCAGACCATGCAGAACATGTGTATGCTGATCAGATATGCTGATTAATTCTGCAGATTGTTACAGCAGCCCTCATGCAGCCAGAATGTTCATCAGCATTGAATGGTTCCCACTTTATTTCTCTGACGTTGATGGATAGACCCCTATGCATTAAATATGAACCCCCATCATTGTAGCACAGGAATTTAAGGAACACTACTCATTTAAAGACTTCCCTCAGACAGATAACATTCCCAGCACGGAAAGCACAGTACAGGGCCCCTTGGCAAGGAAAGGAGTTACCTGGAAAAATGTGGTATTACGTATGTGTGTGTGTGTGTGTGTGTGTGTGTGTGTGTGTGTGTGTGTTATTTGAGGTTGAATAAAGACATATGTCCATCAAGTCCAACCTAGTGTGTGTGTGGGCTGGGGTGTGTGTGGGTGTGTGTGTGTGTGTGTGTGTGTGTGTGTGTCTAGGATTTAGTTGAACATGTGATCACATGTATAGTGGATGCTCCAAATTCCCTGCAGACATGGTCTCACCTTTCACTTTTCTTCTGTAGGGCTGAAGTTCACATTTCTGCTGTGTCAGTGCAGTTTGGTTTGCTGCTGGAAGCCTATTGCCGGGGCAGTGTGGGTCACATGAAAGTGCTTTACAAACAGGTAACCATCACAAAACTATAAAGTGCTCTTATTGGCAAATTTCTCCAGAAACTATTTATATGTAGACTAGCAGAAGTGCTCCCATTCATCAGATGGTGAAAATGTTAAAAGGAAGAAAAAAAAAGGAATTGTGTATGTAAAATAGTAATGTTGTTGACATCCAGGGGCGATTGTTTGTCCCTAACTGCAGGTAATTGCTCCATGTGCAATTTACATCTAAACACTGGCGGGCAGCTGCGGCTGTCGTCAGCCTGTCATTGCTTTGTACAGGCCAGTGGCCACAACTATCTGCAGTCACCTGTTGATGCAGCCACAGGAATCAGCTGAATTTGTGCCACCGCTTTAGAGAGGATTAGCAGCTTTGTGTAATATGCCATTTATACAGCCAGCAGAGACTAATATGTGCACACACCCACCAGAGAAGATGCTGGCGAATCTGGCAGCTACCTTTGCAGAGGTAGCTGGTGACCACCTCTAAGAAGGGTATGGAATGTAATCTTTACTACAACACCCATGAAACCTGTGTCTCCTTTTCCCCCTTTTACATTGAATAAATGCATTACATTTTAATGAAGTGGACCTGTGAGTAAATGGAACACTCTGGATTATTTTATGCTAATCTCTCACCTACAAATGTTATCAACTGTGCTGGTATAAAAAAAAATGATATGCTCAATATACATAAAGCTGATTGGTTACTCTGTTCAAGTGCTCCAGATTCTGTCCTAGTTTTAATAAATTCCCCCCATAGTCTGCAAACTTCTTCAAAGGAACAGATCCCAATAATATATTCCACTTCTTGTATGTTTTTTATAAGCTCCATGTACCAAGTGCTCGGAATAATTTGTGATTTATAAAATAGCATGCCAATCCCATTTGCTCCACCTCTGTGCCCTCCCTCTTCCAAGTACACTTACCAGGAAAACCTGACCATACACCAATCACTAAAAAATGCTCAATTCCCCCATCCTTGCTAAACGGCATGAATGGGGGAATCCTACCCATCTGGCTGTGTCACTGTCAGACTACCCGAATTTTCAGCCAAGCTCCTTCGTCAAATGGAGGGGTACCAATGGAGCCACACACTGCACAAATTTCAGCTGAGCTAGCAGGACTCTTATTTCTAAGAAAGGTCAAAAAGCGCTTGTGAGTATAATCCAGGAGTTTCCTTTTTAAGAACGCTGAGAGGAATTTATCAAAACTGGAGCAGACAGAATTTGGAGCAGTTGCCCATCTCAACCAATCGGCTTCTCTTTCATTTTCAAACCTTGATTGAATAAACTGAAGAGAGAAGCTGATTGGTTGCCATGGGCACCTGCTTCAGCTTTTGTCTTCAGTTTTGATACATTCCCCCCACTGTGTTTTATACTCCTCTCCTTACTCTGCTGTAAGGCAAGGAAAAGCTGCATAGTGGAAAAATTCTTAAACACTTCTATTTATTAGGATGACAGTAAAACTCGGACAGCACAGTTTAAACAGCATGTGTATAGTTTGTATAACACCGATATCCTGAGAGCAGTGCACAGATCCCTCCCTAATGTGATGATGTCACAAGCCCCCTTATAGCCCTCCTGAGGATGTTGTCCAGTAACTAGACAGGTTGCAGTATTTGGTTTTTACAGTATTTGGTAAATCCGTATGATATTGCCGTTCTCTACTTAGGCTAATCAGAGGAGTGTGATTTGTGTTTGTTTGTGAATTCTTTTGGTCCTGAGAGCATCATCAAATTGCTCCCTAATTCCTAGGTGGAGGCCCTGAACAAGCTGCGCACACTAAATAGTCTCATCAAGCTGAATGCTGTAAAGCAGAGTAAGGTGAAGAACAAGGAAACAATGCATGCCTGTTTAAAGCAGAATGCCTACAGGGAAGCTCTCAGTGATATGCAGTCACCACTCAATCCCAGCGTCACCCTTTCTGAGCTTGTGTGAGTGTTTTACCTTCTTTGTTCCATGTGGTTACATAAGGAGTCATCCCTTATCATTTCTAGTACTAAGACAGCTGCTCCATGGTTTGTTTTGAACCCGTGCTGGTGAGAAACATGAAAATGAGCTTGCAGACACGTGTATCTCACAAGTTACTTGCTGGATACCACTATTTTTTTTTTATCCAGCCAGTAATCTGAGCGCCCAGTGAACTTTTTATTACTTGTGTCTATGGGTGGGAATTTAATTAGATTAATTAAAGGAGAACTATGAGTTGATTGAAAATCACTCATCCTCATAGTTCAGCCGACTTGTGATTAATTAAACTGTCACACGTCGGCTCAATAGATCGGGAAGTGATCGAACACATATCGTCGTTCACTCCTCGATCATCTCCCTGCAGAGAGAGGTGACTGTCAGTCACGGCTCCCTGCAGGGATTCCCCCCTCCCCGCTCCGATCCTCTAGCGCTGACTGGAGGAACGGACAGGGGAGGGGGCGAGTACAGCTGGCTCTGCCTTTTAGATGGGCAGAGCCAGCTGTCACTCACGCAGCAGGGTGGATCTCGACAGTAATGTCGGGATCCGCCCCAGCTGCGGCCGTTTCAGTATACCGCGAGCTGTAGCTCGTGATATACTGAGCTTTGGGTCACGGGAGGACGCTAGTATATGTCCTCCCGTGACCCTTAAGAGAACTATGGGGGAAAACACTTACCCCATAGTTCTCTTTTATTGGAAGTCCATTATCAGTTGCTTACTATGTGCTCAATGCCAGCACCCAAGCACACTCTTTTTTTACCCTCTTTGTCCTTCATGGATAGCTGAAGCTATCCTCCAAGGTTCTCATGACTGCTGCTTACCACTGGTCTTTTCCCTGCTGTCACTCATCTTGTTTCTTCTTGTATAAACAGTGTGGAGAAGTGCAAATATATGGATTCAAAGATGAAACCTCTGTGGATTGTCTACAACAATAAAGGCTTTGGAGGGGACTACACTGGGATCATCTTTAAGAATGGAGATGGTGAGAAATGAAATGCAACACTAGCTACAATTCTGGGGGGAAAATATTTTTTTTAGGATTAATATGTCAAACTGATTATAAATGTTTTCTGTGGACAGATCTGCGTCAGGACATGCTAACCCTTCAGTTACTACGTTTAATGGATATGTTGTGGAAGGAAGCGGGGCTGGACCTCCGGTGAGACACTTTCGGTGGAATTCTTGTTGAATGGGGAAATGTGATGAACTCGCAAATATTCTCCAATCATGCCAATTCTTGTATTGCCCTCCATTTCCTTCTCCAAATCTTAATCTTAGAATGTGTAGCAAAGTTTTTCTTGCCTTCAGCATTTTACACTGTTGTACCTTTTAGAATTGCTGTGGAACTGCAGTCTCTGCAAGATGATGCATACTATTTTTGTTTAAGTTATGTTATGTGAATGAAGGCATGTAACAAATATAAAAAAGTATTATCCCAATTTTGCTGGGAAAGTGGAAATAAACTAAAGCTGCCATAGACATAGGAGGAGAGTTGGTCAAGACGCAATCCAGCTAACCTTTAGGGAAACAATCAGAAGAAGCAGTGCAGTGTTTACTTGAACAGCCTTGTCCTGTTATTATGGGTTGAAAGAAAATACCCCTTCTCTTTAAACCCATGATAACATGTACCTATAGGTCTGGATGAGTTGTGTGTTACATTATTAATTTTTGCTGATCACCCGACTAGCTTTCTTAATTCAGAATGACTTGTACAACAAATTCTCTGGGAATAAATATGGTGAATGTTGCTCCAATCAAGATAATCTGTTTATCATAACCAGCATGGGGGTCAGAGACCTCATGGAGGTAAGGTGTTGATTGCATTTGCATGATTGGAGCTAGCAGGTGTTAATAAGCTGCCCAGAGAGAGGTGTGTAAATAGCATTGCATGTGGCAGACAGTAGATGTTGAAAAATAAAGCAAGTCCAGTCGTCTTGATTTATTTTTTACAGATATTCCATGATCTGGAGGAGTGAGAACCTTCACAGACAACCTTTAAGGTTGTTCTTTTTCTCCCACCATTTTTTTCTCTCTGGTGCTGTAACATGTTCAGGATTCACCGTTACCTTTGTCCATGGCATGCTCTAAGGCCCTCTTCAGACCTAGGTGTTTTGTAACTGAAAGGGCAAAGTACTACAACCCTCAGAGGAATTCCATTGTTCTCAATGGCCCGTGATCACATCTAAAGCATCCGGTCATCTGTAGCAAAATGCCTGTCACTAGAAAAAGTGCATGAACGAAATATTACTGCAAAAGCAGATCACTGGCCAACCTGCCTCCTGAATGTAGACTTAGATGCATGTGTGACCAATGATAAAGATATACACTGCAATGTCCTAGTAAAATTTGCAGATCTGGTATATTTTCTCGTGTATCTGCCACTGACAAGCTTGATCAGTTTAACAAATTTCTGCCGCCCTCCTCACCATTTGTACGAGCTGCCCTCCTGCTGACTTCTGTCAAAGCCTCCACTGACAAGGATGTTTTTATACTCCCCTCCTGCTGCTCCTTTGGGGATCTCGGCTGTCATCTCTTGGCCTCTGGAAGGGAAGTTACTGGCCTTGCGCCCTTAAACACTATAGTGTGGGTGTGACAAACAGTCATGGGCTAATGCCAAGTGGCCCTGTGACCTTGGCAGCACTTAGCATTAAGTTGTCACCTATGCAGTGCTCAGTCTGACAACAGTTGCTGAGATACCTTTGTTGTAATTATCCAGGTCAGCCTCAGATAGGGCCCAGCATTGAGTGAACAGATTCTTCAAACATCTTGGCTGTCATGTGTGCCATATTCCACCATTAACCCCTTACTGGGAACCTCTATATCTATTACACATTACCGTAATTAAAAATGAAAGTGATCTCTCGCTTATAGTCTGCAGCTGCTGTCATTTTACTAAAATTACAAACATTTCCCTTACATGTATCTATAGCATCCTGAAAGCATTCAGTGCACAGTGTTTTAAATATAGAATTTTTGTATTTTAAATTTTTTTTTTCTAGTAAGATACTTTCTAAGACAGTTGCCCCCCTATGGGCCCTTTCACATGGGCTTTTTGATCAGGTCCGCCTGCCGGTTTATCAGGCGGACCTTATAGGAAGCCCAATGTAAGTCTATGGGCAGTCAGATCTCAATTGATGGATGTCCATTTACATCTGGTATTCCTGGCTTCGGCCAGGTCTGTAGAAACAAAGGAATCCTTTTTTTTTTGCCGCCGTAGTAATCTGATGTAAACAGACACAAGTCCGTTCACACCCAATTCCCCATAGACATGGGTCCAGTAAACTAGACGGGCACGAATGTCACAATGATGAACTCTGTTCCAATCAGCAGGGGATCTGTGCACAGATCCCCTCCTGATTGGGCTGTGTAAAAGGGGCCTTAAGTGTGCCAAGGGTGCTCTACTTCTTATTACAACACTGAAACCAATCAAATGGTGATATTTAATGCAGTGCTCCCACTTAGCAGTCACTTTTGATATAATTGCCAGTAAGGCTTGGAGTCTTCTGAACAGCACACGGTATGACTCTTGAAAAAACATTTTCTGGTGGCAACTCAGAATGATATATTATTTTTGGGTAAAAATCATTCAGCTGTTAAAGCTGATCGAAACCCAAGAATAAAACTATAATATATTACAGCTTGCCAGTCCTTAGATCTGGTGGCTTGAATACTTTTTCAGGCTTTTTTCCTTTTATTCTCACCTGGTGATCCTGCCAGTAACACACTTCATGTCCCAGGGTGACAACACTCACTCACTGTACTGCATCTCTGGAGAGTTGTCCCCCCAGGACAGAATACCTTCCCCTCTTCTCCATAACACATAGGCTAGAAACACATTTATTGACTACCCAGATCTATAAACTCCAGATGGTCTGAGACCTCACCCCTAATACGGAATATATTACTAAAAAATCCACATCAAAGTGTCAGTGGGGGTTTTAAGAGGTATCAGACGTATTTAAAAAAATAATTGAATTACATTTTGTATTTTTTTGAATACGTCTGATGCCTCATAAAAACCCCACTGACACTTTGATGTCCATAACACATAGGGTTGACTGTTTTGTTGTCCAAAAATAGAACTGGGAACAATTATAACCGTTATCAGAGGCAGAGAGCACAAGAACTCATCAACTTACAGGCTTTTCACAGGCTGCCACAATCATTTGGTATTTGCTTGAACATATTGATCAGAGATTCAAAACACTTTTGATTATATACTGTATTCAACAGACCAAAGGGGCACACTAAGAAGGGTTCACTGTATACATATACTTTACAATCCGTCAGCTAATGTTAGTGATTAATAAGTAAATAAGCCCCCCCTCCCCAGTGGCTGTGTGGTACAGAAATCTATAACAATACATATATGTGTAACCCTTTTAGCAGTAAACAATGCCTTTATGCCCAACCGCTTACTAATGTCAATCTTTTCAGCCCCTCCCAAAAAATAGCTGTAAATCTCCACAGATGCTGCTTGGTAAAGCGTCATTTATATTGTAAGCCTAATTCTTATGATTTGTAATCTATGACACAGCACCCTCTGTTGGCAGCATTGGAAATTAACTTGTAGATGAAGAATATAGTTCAGTATGTATGCAGGAGTTATATTTTACATTATAGAGGTGGTAGTAGATTTTCAGGGATGGATATATCTTAAATAAATCTGTGATTGTGGGTATAATATTTCTCTTACACAATAGGTCCGTTCCACTAATGACACTGGATAACTTTGGAGCAAATTTGTACCTAGCTAGTATGGCTCGAATTAATTCTGTTTCATCCTTGTGAATGTGAAGCATCTTCTGTGTCTTTTTTTTCCCTTTTATTAGTTTTAGTGTGGTGCCCAATTAAAGTTAATGTTCATTATTTCCTAACGGTGAACCCACTCTTGCTGCCCTGTGGCTTATTATAAGACATGTACAGCATTTTGCCATGCAAGTGGCTTTTAGTAATTGCTAAAAAATGTTAACAAGACTTTTAATTGTATGTTTTAGAATAGTGCCTTATGGGTGCCTGGCAACAGGTGATCGGTGTGGAATGATAGAGGTAGTTTCTGCAGCTGAAACCATTGCAGATATCCAACTTGACAGCAGCAATCTTGCAGCAGCAGCGGCCTTCAACAAGGATGCTCTACTCAACTGGATCAAAGAGTACAATGTTGGGTAAGTTGTACACTGTCACACTGCATTCAGGAGTCTCCGCTCAGTTTTCTTCTTTATAACATGCATACTGCAGTCAAGCATGGCTCTTCATACTGTATTCCAGGAGTTACAATTCATACTTCTCAGCCTACAGTCATTGCTATTTACTGCTCACTGCATATAGGGCATTCACTTTACTATAAAGCTCTGGTCAGTTCATCACAAATTACAGGATTTAAATGTCCATGACTTACTTACTGCACTTAATTATAAGTTCATCTGTACATATTGTTTTCTCTGTCTCCCTGCAAAGTCTTACAAATACCTGTTGATCCTGCCAGTGAAGTCCCCTAATGCAACTTCCTGTGATGGTGTGACAATGATGCTGCACTGATCTCGAATTTAGAGCAGTATTGCCTCTCGTGTAGTCTGTACTACTACAGTGGGATCAAATGATGTTGCACAGGGTGTGGCTATTAGCATTGTCACTGCTGATTCATGAGCCTGTAGCTTGTCAGTCAACACCTGGCCACACCTAGTCCTGACCACTGCTTTCTGGATTGACAGCACTGCCTCTTTTACTTAAATACTCCAGCTGTGAGCTGCAGTGCCTGGGAGGGAGAGCATGTAAGACATAAATGAAGGAAGATTTGGCTTGAAAACTTAAACAGCCCTGGTGGCTGTAAAGTAACATAATGAGTGCATTGGGGAGAACTGATTAGGCAGTGTGTCCATGTGACTGTGCTGACCAATGAAAACCTTTTCTGAGCTTCTTTCTTCAAGAACACCATTCTAGAAAAAAGAGGAGATTCACCTTGGTCAGCATGGTCACGTGGCCACACTGACAAATCACTGCTCTCCATTGCAACCATTATATTATTATACAGCCTCCACGACTGTGTAGTATGTTCAGGTTCCCGGTAAACCTGCCTTAAACATGGATACGTATATGGTGATCTATGCTTCCATGTTTTAGTTTAATAGTCACGTGCAGTTGATATGTATTTTTACCATGTCTACATGAAGGCTTGGTCTGATCAGGCACTTTTGTCACCTTGTTCTGAAGTAGTAAAGCTTTGTGAAGGCTGATGTAATGGGAGTGTGGCCGGCTAGTTTGTTCATATAGGAGAATTTGGTTGTTCTTTAAACTGTAGCTATAGCAATTTTGTTTTCTCGACTTCATCCTAATGACTATCCATGCTGAGGTACTGTAAGCTGTAGATACAAGTAGTTATTACCTTACCTTTCTCAGGGAACCCTTGTATGTCAAGGGTTCCTCTATGTTAAAAAGGTTTTATTATTATTATTGCTGTTTTTGTCCTATTTGGAGGGATTTTCCTTAATTTCCTGCTTTGCCCGCTGGCCCTTCATCCTTAATCCTCCTGCAGTTGTCCCAGCTCATGGAAGTGACAGGTAAAACCTGCAGCCACAAGGAAGGTGGGGAATAGGATGCCTTTGACGGTTCTATTATAATAGTTATGACGTTGGCAGTAAAGAGTTAACTATGTGGTGTGCAGCATTTCTAAGCATTGACCCAACAATCCCCCTGTAATTGTTCTGTTTCTGGTAGGGATACAATTGTGTTTCATATTTAAGATTCCTGTAAATTCTTTAGTTATGTGGGTAGCTGGCTTTTTACAGTATACAATTGGAATGTGTGGTATGAGATGTTAATTTAGGAACCTTCTTCCTCTCACAGAGATGACCTGGAGCGAGCAATTGAGGAGTTCACTTTATCCTGTGCTGGCTACTGTGTAGCTACTTATGTTCTTGGGATCGGTGACCGGCACAATGACAACATTATGGTCAGAAAGACGGGGCAGGTGAGACACCATCTCCAACCTATTCTTGGGCCAGCGTTACAAATAGAGTGCAGTTGCCAAAGGGTGCACATAATTAAAAATAATCATAATCCTGTACTTATACCATTCACAGACAAAAACCGATTATGCATTATTCATTTTCCTATGGATCCTCGTCCATAGTAGTGCTATTATACATGCAGATCTCTAATTTCATAAGATTATATTCCCAATCGATTTGCCTTGATAATAAAAATGTTAATGGTAGATTTGCAATAATATCAGATTAATGGAAGTGCTTTATGATTTCTAATACTTGTATTTCGTAACATTTGAATACATCATGTTGCTGGCTAATGCTCTAGGTGTCCCCCCCCTCCCCTCTCTTTTCAGCTGTTTCACATTGACTTTGGTCATATTCTTGGGAATTTCAAGTCCAAATTTAAAATTAAGAGGGAGCGTGGACCCTTCATCCTTACCTATGACTTCATCCATGTTATCCAGCAAGGGAAACCAGGGAACACAGAAAAATTTGGCAGGTTGGTTATCTTTTAGCTGTAAATGAAATACTGCTGGGCGAGGTCCCTCTCTTCTAGCTTACTCGTTGTACGTACTTGTTTTCTTTGCTGCTGCTGTCTTTTTCCCCAGTGATCCACTAGAGTGCCCAGTAATCTAAATTCCTGAAAATCCTCAGTGAAATTACCCATAAAACCATTGTTGGGCATTGTTGACTAGATTGCTACTTTAATTTTGAAGTATATGTAAACCCAATCACTAAAATCTCAAACAAGCTTTAACATGTTAATGTAATTTAAAACAAAATGATTATTTTTAAATCTGTCGCTTTCATTCAAATTTCCCTGGTGATCCTGCTACTGTATGATGGTCCATTATTCCTGGTATAGGTGACTGCGCTCTTTCTGTCTTGAAATTGTTCTACTACATTGTCACCCCGTCACTTGGAAACTACAACTGGACTTTTCAGCACAAATTACACAGACATAATTAACTGTTGTAACCATCAGGAAACCTGCCTTGAGAAATGCTATTCAGCCTTTGCAGGAATGCATGTAGACAGAAAGTGGTCGCAGGATGTCAGCAACACTGCCATGCGTCAATGGATTACAAAAGGGGAAAACACGTCTGGCCCGATTTATATCCCACTTCTCATAGATGCTTCCGTGGGTGTGAGGAATCTGGAGATATGTTACCCACCTGGTGGACGTGCCCATTTGCTTCCAGTTTCTGGACTAAAATATATAAACTACTGAGAAATATGTTAATATGTTTGGTCAACATCTAACAAGGGGCCCAGGACAGGTCTTTACTACATATGACGGTGTCCGGACTAACTAAGTCACAACGCTCCCTTACGCCCCAAGTTTTTCTAGCTGCCTAATTAACTTTGACTAGGAATTGGAAGAAGCAATTTATTCCATACACAGAATTTACTCAGAGAATGGATAATATTATGCTAACTGAACGACTAGCGAGTCTTCTTATTGAAAAGCATACCAATTTTTTGCGCATGTGGGACCCTTAGTTGTTTACTTCTCATCCTGGACTATATCTGGATGCCCTTCATTATCTGTGATGGTGTTTGGAAGGGGGTGGGGAGGATATCTTAGTGAGTTCGAGATTGATGGTCAATGGACCTCTCATTATCCACACCACTGCTGGCATATCAGTAGTTTTCTGTTTCTGTTTTCTTTCCCTTTCTCTTATTACTTTGGTTATTCCATACTCCTTTCTTTTGTAATCTGTTCAGTTATTGTTGAACTTCACTTGGTACTGGAACTTTATATAGCTGTATTGATGTGCAGATGGCTGTGGGGAAGTATTTTTCAGCCATCTGTAGGAGTTCAAATTGTCAGATAAGCTATCACGATCCTTTCATCGCTGTTCCATGACTATGGATTTGTCTCATGTTGATTGTGCTGCTCTGGTTGTTATACAACAGAATTTAATGTTTTATGATTGTTCTTTATTGAAATTCATAAAAGAATATTGTTACAAAGAAAAAAAAAGGGGAAAACAAATGTTGCGCACACACAATTTGATACATAGTGCTTTAGAAAACTAAGGGTTGATTTATAAATCTTCTGGCCAGACCTACGTTGAGCGAATGCGGTTCACATAGCATTCCTTCCACTAGAGCATAGAAAATGCCTATGGTCAGAAGCTTGTTAAATCACCCCCTAAGGGCCAATCCACTCCAGCAGTCGTGCTACAATGCACGGTTGCTGGTGTGCGTTGCCAGGCACCATACCGATCAGCCGCATCGTATGGTTTAATGTTTGTTTTGTTAGAACTTTATTCAAATGTCACACGGGACATTTCACAAAGTTCTATGGGTACAGCACGGTGCAATGCACTTGTACTGCATTCCACCACAACACCATGGTGTCACCTGAGCCCATTTGAAACAACACAAATTGCTTTTCCAGCAGACCTTGAATGCATCTGGTGTGAATCAGCCCTAAATGTCATCTAGGGTTTCTCTACATATCTTTTTTTATTATTACTTTTTTTTATGTTGTTCTATGAGTAGTTTGCATGAAGCAGTGACATTATGTGAGGTTCCCTCTCATTACCTATGGTTTATCGTCCTGCAGATTTCGGCAGTGTTGTGAGGACGCCTATCTGATCCTGCGCAGGAACGGAAACCTCATCATCACGCTCTTTGCACTAATGCTGACAGCTGGACTCCCAGAGTTGAGCTCTGTGAAAGATATTCAATATGTCAAGGTATAGTGAGTAGCCTCCTGTATGTGCACAACACACTCAACTCCAAACATGTATATTTCCCTCCTACTGTATCCTATACCTGGTGGTATGATGCATATTCTTCTCATTACAGCCCTTTGTGTTATCTGGCTTCTGTTCACTACACTCATACATTCTTCACCTTTCAACTCTGTTTGTGCAGTGGACTGTGTTGTGATAAATTTACAACAGTCAATTGTTTAGCGCTCTGTTATATTTTTAGACAAACTCCCCCCAATAAATTGCAGGAAAGGTTAGGACATCTGGCATGTTTTTATTTGCATCTGTATCCATATAGCCAAAGCAAAAAGTAAGTTTTAGGGATTGTTCGCACCATGTCCAGACCAGAACAGTTTGTTCCCAGACCAAAGAAGCATCCCTATGTATTCCTGAGCTCTGTTCACACCAGCGAAGTCCATTCCGGTCCAGATGAAAAAAAATACTTCTAGTTTCATTTTCTTTTGTGTGGAACGTATGTAAATGCATCAAAAGCACATGCAAATGCACTGGAACGCACTGGACTACACCTGAAAGCCCATTTTAAGCTTGTAAATAAAAACCAGAACGCAGCAAAAACGTGGCAGAAATGCACTGCACTGCATTTGCAGATCTGGCCCAGACGTGGTGTGAATAAGCCCTTTGTACAGTTTAGGAAGGCTGTGACCTGTCCCGGTGACAACGCACCATTTCCTTTGTGGGCATCACAGTCACAGGAAGTAAGGGAAAATGTTACCTCTGCAAATACAGAAATAAAACCCGACAAATTTTTTAATCTTTCACACACTAAGGCCAGGGTCACAATATTTTCTGGACTAGATCTGGAATGCAGGGCATTGCATTTTGCCGCATTTTTGCCGTGATTTGACCACAATTTTTCTGCGTTCCATAGCTGTTTTTTTGGCTTAAAATGTGCTTTCTGGCTGCATTCCAGACCAGACAAAATGAGACATGCAGTATTTTTCTGGTCTGAACTGGAATGGACTGCTATAGTGTGAACAGAGTCCAGCAATAGCATAGGAATACATTAGGTTGCATTTTGGGTCCGGAAACAATCTGGTCTGGCCTGGAGATGATCTGGATGTGGTGTGAACGGGCCCTAAAACTAGAAGAAAAATTGGCTTTATATTTTGAGTAGCTGTATTTATCCTTTTAGTTATTTAACTTTGTCAACTCTTCTGATTTCAGGATTCTCTGGCTGTGGGGAAGACGGAAGATGAAGCACTTAAACAGTTTAAACAAAAGTTTGATGAGGCTTTGAAAGAGAGTTGGACAACCAAAGTCAACTGGATGGCACACACTGTGCGAAAGGATTACAAGTCCTAGCAAAATACCGATAACCACTTTTGTGCCTGACAAGGCCGTCCTTAAATTTCTGGCCCCTCTAAAGTTGCTCCTGTAGGATGAACAAGTTGGCCAGTGGCTGCAAGTGAGATATTATGAAGCTTGTAATTCCATGGTAGCGTACCAATGACACTCCGAAGAAAGAGGATTTCCAAGAGACCTACTGTAAGAGTAAATGAGAGTCAAGCTGTGCTTATATTGAGATCAAACAAGCCAAGAAACCCTGGTTTTATAAGAGATGGAAGTACAGTTGGCTGTGCTGGATTTTTACACCCCCGTCTTCCTCAAATTTGGCATTAATTCCAGCTCTGCACTGCCACAGTCACAGCTTACACTGCATTCAGCAGCCCCTGGCACTGGAGAATAGCCAGGCATGAGTTATGGGGAGGGGCGGGGTTGTGTAACAGTTTCAGATTTTTAGCATTACCAGAAGTCATGTCTTCCAATCATGTTGCATCCTCAAGAACATTCATTAGTTTTACTTGGAGAGATTTGCAAGATTTTCACCGCCATTTGAAGTTAAATGATGGTAGAAATCATATATTTGGCATAAATCACTACAGATCAAGTTCTACTTAATACCAAAGCGTTACTTCCTGCTACCCACTAACCTCTGCTTTGCCTGCCTGGACTTACCCCTTGAAATACTATCTTCATCAATATGCAGTATTTATGGAGGTCATGCAACACCCTCAGAATTTCACTTGTTTTCTTACCTTACTATGAAATACAAGGTAAACATTTTGGGGGCAGGTTGGGGTTTTCAATTCAAAGGAGGATTTTGCGTAAAGTGAACCTGTGCTTTGTCTATGCGGAGTAAAACAACTTGTTCACTGTAATCCCCCTCCCCAGCAGCATTTCCCTTCCTTGCTTCCCCCACTGCTTCATTCGGCTAGTAAGAGAAGCTGCCCTGTGTAAGCTCAAATTGTAGCTTACACGGAGCTATGGACTTTCCCCATGTGACAGAGCTGATGCATGGTAATTGGGCCAGTGATATCACAGTGAGTCACGTGTTTCTACATACCCAGACATGCTGGTTATTTTCTTGCTTCCTACGGCTGAAGTAAGCTGTGTAGGAGTGAAGGAAATGTGAATTTGTGCTGCTAGGCAGGAGATGAAGTGAAACGTATTTCTTTTCCCTGCCCATTTCTGCGCAGTATTGTACTGCATTTTTTTAAAGCGTGTTTAGAGAAGAGTAGAGAATGAACTGGCTGCATGTAATCGGATCCAGTAGTAGTTCAGTGGTGTTCATGCTTCTCGATAGAGTAGAGGGTCTTGCAGCATCCCCGTTCACTTCCTCCTCATCCCCTGAATGTGTTACATTGGAGGCAGCAGGGATTACCGAGTGTAATCATGGAGATTGTAAAGAGTGAACAGATGGGCTTCAATAAGTAAAACACATCTGTGGAAAGAACATATTTTTTGTTGCTAATAGCATCTAATCACAACCATTGTTTAATTTTTAACTGCACTGCAAAAATGACTGTTGGAAGTTGATTGGTTGCTATGGATAACGAGAATTCTTTTTACTGGCATGTCTCATACATAGGTTACGAAGTAGTCTGAGATTGTTTTTATATATTTTCCTGGTATCAATGTTCCCCGTTCACAAAGCTCCGATTTGATGAAAGATGCACCCCAGCTGAGTCTAGAAACGAAGACTTGAACTGCAGTTCACACGGAAAGCAAGACTTATGTATATTTATCTATGCATTGCTGTAGTAAACCAGTTCTCTCCACTGCTGTAAATCACCTGGTTGCCAAAGACCTAGAATTCTGGGTCCGCCATTTCTTGTGCAATTTAAATTAAGGGGATTGGTATTCCTATTTCTACCTACTGCATACCTCTATGCTCCAAGATATCCAGATCTAGGTCATTGTGCTGATGTCATCACCATGCACCCTCTGCTGTCTACCCAGCAATCCACTGGCTGTCGCCATCGCTGCTTCCCTCACCTGAACTATTCCCAACTTACACTGAGTTGTGTCCTTTCCTCTGTACTGTCAGTCTACAGAAAAGTTGGCACCTCCACTCTGATTCTGCCATTCCAAACCGAATTTCTGTCATAAGGATCCCAGTTGAAGCCGTGATGGTACCACATAAAGCCCAGGTACGGAATTGTTAGGATCACATAAAGCCAAGGTGAGCAGTGAAGAGAATGTACCCTCAGAGACTAGACCAGCTTCAGTCTTAGATGGCATTAGCAGTTCATTGATGAAATGCCCTTAGCTGCTTTTTATTGTGGAGGTAAATATACATGTTCACCTATTTACTCTACCCACAGTGGTTGTATGCAGAAATGTTTTAGCCTGCTATCAAAACGTAGCATGAAGAATAACACCGAGGAAAGTGTATTTGTTACTTTGAATGTACCTAGACAAAAAAAAAACCTCTATAACGCCCTTTCTAGGCCTTTAACCTAAACCCATCACCCAAATGCTTACTTACCTCTTCATGATAGCTGTGGCCTCCTCCCCTTTACTGTTTTTTACCCTTCTTGGCTCAAAATCCTTTCTAGTAACCAAACCTGTGTATTGACTCCCCATAGACTCTAATGGTACTATACCCCTAGTGTGTCTAGTGTAGAAGTACAGTACCAATAAAGTCTATGGGAAGTCATTACACAGGCATGGCCATTGCAGGAGAAGATTTTGGGCAAAGGAGGGTAGCAATGAGAGAAGGTTGTCATGGAGAGGTAACATGACACTAAATGCAGGAGTTAAAGTTTAAAAATACATTCAGGTATCTTATTTGTGTGTTACTCGGCCATAGCTCCTCAAATCATCTCTGAATTGGTGCTGACACCGTCCTTCGGGGGGTGGCTACTTTTGTTCCTCATCGTCCCTGTGTGTGTTGTAAAGTAGTCACCGCTCCATGCTTGCTCCTGTGATGGACTACAATGTCAGTACAAATTAGTAAACTAAATGTGAGATTGTAGTCCATCACAGGGTGGAGCTTGGAGCGGTGACTACTTTACAACACACACAAATGGACCATGGGGAACAGAAGTAGCCCCCCTCCAGAAGGAAGGACAGTGTCAGCACCAATTCAGAGATGATTTGAGGATCTACAGCCGAGTGATACACAAATAAGATAAATTTTTGTTAAAATAGTTATGGTACTTGAATGTATTTTTGGGATTTAACTGCTGAGCATAGCGTCACTTTCAGTAAATCCTTGGTAGAGGGGTCTCTATCTTAGATCAGGTTAGGGTGCTAGCGAGAGGGTTTCCTGGGTTTTTGGACAATATACCAAAATAAAATACCAGTCCACCTAGCATATTTGAGTTTTGGCGGACACCCTCGGCTATAATTCGCAGTCAGCTTCAAATATCTCCTCTGAGCTCAGCCAGCGGGATCTCTGCACCTGCCACAGCCTGTACAAGTCGGTCTCGTACTCAATGGATATTTATTTTAAATTATGAAGAATATAGTAGGAGGAGTAAGACTACAGAAGACCAGGATCTCCAGGAAGACAATCTTGCAGTAGCCACCCCAGAGAGATATGAGGCCCGGGGCTGAAACTTCAGCTTTAGGTAAACATGGTTTTCATTTTTGACAGCTTAGCAGTCTCTTTACTTGTGAAAGATTGGGACGCTGGGTTCTGTCCTCCTGTTTAGGATTTAGAATTGTGCCTTTTAAGCAGGATTCTAGACCGGTGTAAAAATAGCCAATAGCAGAATCTAGCCAGCAGATAAATGGGGGGGGGATTGTTGCTTGAGATTCAATAGTAATTCTCAAGCAACCGGAAACAGAAACTACAGTTATCCGGACTCTACCAAGCTCCATGGGTAGCGGATAACTGGGAGTTTACTGTATTACCTTTCTGTAATCCTCTGCACAGCAGACTGGGAGAGGAAAGCTCAGCACTGTAAGCCAATCAGGCTTCATCGCAGAGTGCTGTTATCTAAGACAGAGAATATGCAAATAGCAGAGATCACAGAGAATACCTCATGAGTAAGCTGGACAGGTCCTTGCTGCATTGCTTTTACTACACTGGAAATGGGTACGGTCAGGGAACTGGCTTTGCTGTCTGGCAGGGGTGAGTGAATCTGAAGAGTGGCTGCACACAATTACACATTCTGTAAGTGGTAGAAAGTTCAAGAATATCTATATCATCTGTATGTGTAGCTGCTTGTCTATAGTTCCGCTGTAAGCCTTACCTCGGTGGAATCTCTGCACTTCTTCAAAGCTGGCTCAGTGAAAAGCCCGCTCAGATCATGTGACGCTGTACTGGATTACGCAATGCAGACTTGGAACGAAATGTTGGCTGCAAACGGCTAAATATTCCCATGAAAAGACTCGGTGCAATGTGACTGACCATTGAATAGATTTACATGAAAGAAAATATAATTGAGAGACTTTATTTATTCCAACCTTGTTGTTTTTATAAAGACAAAGGATATTTTTATTATGGTTTGACAGTCACATATTACCTATATTTATTTAAAGTTTGTAAAGGACAGCATTTCTGTGATATTCCAGATGAATGAGAGGATGCTCCATTTTGTACAGAACCAGGTGACAGAGACTGCACTGCACAGGACGTTCCTTGACTACTGCCCGCTTGTGTTGCACACACACGTCTTACACTGGAAACAGACTTGTGTATATACTATGAATTCTACTGCTGTCCTAATGAGAATGTAACTGAACCGATTTCTACACTGTAACAAAGACGCACCACCTTCTGATGATCATGAATAAACATAACCTTTGTTCTGGATGTTCTTACTCATGTTAGTCATTTGTTTCCTTCGATCAGTGGCTAAGGATCCAGGTGCTTTTTTTTGTTTTTTTACAGGAAAATGTAATGGATTTTGGTCAGTTTTTTTTATTGTTTACGAATGTATAAACTGATGTCATTGTTCTAATTGTAGAAAATCTTTATTTTTGCAAATACACATCAGTACATAATGGCACTCATTTTACAGAGCATGCTGGGCTTTCTCCTATATAATCACAGCACTGCCTGTATACTTGTAACAGCTGAGTATTATGTGCAGAAGATAAAAATCTTACCTTGCAGCATGGTATAGGCCTATATCAAGCGACACCATTCAACTCATGCTATCTATGACATGT